GGTAAGTGGTATAGTGGGTTGCATGTTGGCTGCTAACCTCAAGGTCAGCAATTCAAATCAACTGGCTGTTGAGAACTCTGAACACTTTCTATTTCTGGAAAGATTTACAGCCATAGAAACCCACAGGGACAGTTCTACTCTGCCCCTCTATGGTTGCTATGAGTCACGGCCACCCACTGTGATGCTATAGATTGCCGAGACTGGAACCATTTGCCAGATAGAAAGCCCAGTCTTTCTCCTGAGGAGCTGCTGGTGGTTTTGAACTGCCGACCATGCAGATCACAGCCCAATTCATAACCAATATACCACCAGGCCTCCTGTGTATATTTATACACTTACACACACATGTGTGTTGTGAGGTGTTATCGAGTGAGTTCTAACTCATAGGAACTGTGTGTGGTGAAATGCTGCCTGGTACCGCGCCATCCTCACAATCATTATGCTTGAGCCCCTGTTGGGGCCGTTGAACCCCCTGTATCAATCCCACCTTGTCTGGGGTCTTCCTTTTTTATGTTCACTGACCCTGGTCTTCTCTAGGCAGGTCCCTCCTGGTAACCTGTCCAAAGTACGTGCAGTGAAGTCTGGGTGCCCTTGCTTCTAAGGAGCATTCTGACTGTACATCTTTTAAGACAGACTTGTTCTTCTGATAGTCTATATTAATTTTAATATTCTTTGCCAACACCCTAATTCAAATGCATCTGCCATGCATGCCTATGCATGGACACACATACGTATACAGTTGACATTGAGTTCACCCTGATGCATGGCCAGCCCATGTGTATCAGAGTAGAACAGACAACTCTATACAGTTTTCAATGACTGATTTTTCCAAAATCAGTCTGGGTGGACCTAAACCTCCAACCTTTCAGTCAGCAGCCAGGCATGTTAGCCATTTGCACCACCCAGGATCCTGGAGGATTAAAGCCTAAGTCGTGCAGATGATCAAGGGTCAAGAGTCTGAGACTCGGAAAGCCTTTCACAGTCTCATTTATTTGGTCTGGATCTCAGCAATCAGTGCTGGAGGGCCTGCTCAGTTGCCACATGACCTACTTCTGTCTAAACAGTCTAACAGGGTTTTATGGTGGTTCACAAACATCTCTTCATCCACAAGTCACCAAATGAGCCCTCCTTGCCCTCATTTTACACACACACACACACACACACACACACACACACACACACACACACACACACACACACACACACACCGGGGGTAGAGGGGTCCAGGACTTGCCCAAAGTCACAGAACATATGAAGGAGCTTCAAAAAGTTCACGAGAGAACTTTCTTATCTTAACAATTCTGTTCTTCCGTGAGCTTCTGAGCCCTCGTCCAAGAGGGCTTCTTCTTTCTGAGGCTCTTCCCTTCGTCTTGAGGGAGATGAGAACCAGTGCGTCCCACTGGAATGACCCAATCGCGCAAGTTGCCTGCATGCTCACTAGGGCCCTCTGTTTTCATGAGATGATGAAAATTGATATGAACTATCAGTTTTCTATGGATTATATCATAAGCTCTTTGAGGCCCCTCCCTGGCTCTGTACGTGTGTCACGTTTCAGAGCCCTCTGCTTGCACACTGGCCGTGCCAGGGAACTTACTACCACATGAGCAGCTCATTCCATGGAAGGACCGCTCTGCTGGTTAAAGGGACTTTATGGTTTTTCAGTGGTTGCCTGTGAATCACTCTCCCCTGTGTGTAGCACATGCACGAAGAGCATTTGCTTCCCCGTATGCTGCATTTGTTTGGGAACTTTATGGAAGATCCATAAGGATTGGGGAGGAGACTAGAAATGTGTGTTTTTCTATGATGCTTGTTAGTTGTTGACCGTAGGTACAAGAGAAGTGTCCCTGTTTTTGCTGAAGGTAATTTTGTCTGAAATTGAGCATTAACAGAACTGAAATGAAGGTTTCTACAAAGAACTCTGGAGAATGCAGCCTTAACACCAACATTGCAACCTTGGGTTTCAGCAGTTCACTGATCCATCCACTGACACACCCAGCCACCCAGCCACC